AGATGAATGGATAAAGAAGATGTGGTACATATACACAATGGAATACTATTCAGCTGTAAGAAGAAACAAATCCTACCATTTGCAACAACATGGATGGAGCTAGAGGGTGTTATGCTCAGTGAAATAAGTCAGGTGGAGAAAGACAAGTACCAAATGATTTCACTCATCTGTGGAGCATAAGAACAAAGCAAAAACTGAAGGAACAAAACAGAAGCAGACTCACAGAACCCAAAAATGGACTCACAGTTACCAAAGGGAAAGGGACTGGGGAGGATGCATGGGAAGGGAGGACAAGGGAAATAAGGGGCATTACTATTAGCAGACATAATATAGGGGGGCCACGGGGAAGGCAGTATAGCACAGAGAAGACAAGTAGTGACTCTACAGCATCTTACTACACTGATGGAGTGTGACTGTAATGGGGTACATAGGGGGGACTTGATAGGGGGAGTCTAGTAAACATAACGTTGGTCATGTAATTGTAGATTAATGATATCAAAATAAAAATTAATTAATTAATTTAAAAAACAAGGATTAAATGAGATGGTATAGGTCATGCACTTCAGGAAGGGCCTGCGCCTGCTTTCCCAAGTGAAGCCTCTTTGGAGCAGCACACACAGAAGTGCCCTGGTAATCAACAAGCATTACCATTCAAAGATGCAAACAGTGTTTCAAAAGTTAGCCTTTTCCTCAACCAAAAGAGTAGGGAGGAGAGGCTTTAGCCTGCCTGGGGTATAAATCCTGGCTGTATCACCAATTTGCTGTATACTTCAGTTTCTTCATCCCTAAAACAGGAAGCAGTTGCTATACCCTAGGGATCTCATGAGGACTAAGTGAAATGACTGGCATAAAGCCTCTAACTCAGTAGCACAGAGTAAATGATCAAGATGTCCTGCTCTGAGTTAATAGCCAGGCCCAGGCTTTAAACCTGATTCCCACGCTGAGGGTGTTTGGGCGTATGCCTGCCACTGGACCTCTCCTTTGGGCTTCAGATTCTTCTGTAAGATGCCTTCTACTGACCCTGGGACTTGTCAGACTTCACCACTTCGGCCAGGAGAAAGCCTTACTTTCCTTCAACTTACAACAACTCTGGAGCACCTGTCACCACCCCACCCAACCTCCCCACCTCAGGAAACAGTGTGACAGTCCACCCGTGTGCTCCACCCAGAAGCCCAGAGAGCCCAGTTCTCCTTCCCTCACAGCCTCTCCCTTTCCAGCAGCAAGTCCCAACCCCTGCCTCCAAAGTATCCCCCAAGTCTCAACCACAATACATGCACCCCAACACCTCGCCTCTCCCTCCTTACAATGCCCCAAGTTCAGGAGGAAGGCAGTCAACCTCCAGCCCTGCCTCCTGCCTGCACCGCTCACCCTGGCCACACATCAATCTGTCTCATACAGGTTTCTGGAGCAGGTCCACTTCAGGGCCTTTGCACATGCTGTCCCCTCAGTCTGTTAGGCTCGGTCCTCCCACTCACAGCTAGCTGTTTCTCAGCTTCCAGAGCTTGGCTGGCACAGGGCTCACAGAAGCCGAAAGGGAAAAGAAACCAGAAAGGAAGGGACATGGGGAAGAGGGGGGCAGCTGTGTCGGTGATGCCCAGGCACTGAGAGAGAGGCCAAGGACACGGCAGGGAGGGGCCATGAGGGCAGGTGACAGGCGGGGGGAAAGAGTAACAAGCTGGAGAAGGCTATAGGAACGGATACAGGCGGGGACAGTGACAAAACGGGGCGGGGGAGGGGGTTGCAGAGACGGCAAAGACCATGGCAGTGAGGGCCTGGGTGAGCTGGTGGGACAGCAAACTGGGGGCCAAAGTAACAACTGGGTGGACTATACAGGTCGTAAAGCTGCAAGGATACAAAGCAGCCGGAAGGCTGCGTGGAAGATGTCACATGGCTGGGGGCAGGTGAAAGGACACTCAAGGGGGCCAGGGCTCCCAAGGGCGGGTAAGAGAGGGAACAGTGAGGAGGGTCATGGGGAGCGCCGACCGGCTGGTGGGGGCACTAATGGAGGGCCGGACGGGGTAGACACCAGCAGGGTAGGCTGGCCTTGCGGAGGAAGGGCAGCACAGCGGCAGAGGTGTTAACGGGGAGGGGTCACTGACATGTGACACTGACGGGCGAGGGGAGCACTTAGGGGCCACTGACAGGGAGACGCTGTCGTGGGGGTGGGCACTGACAGTGGACAATGGTGGGGCGGGCACTATGGGGAGCTACCAACAGAGGGTCACTGGCGGGGTGGGCTCTGTCGGGGGAACACTAACGGGGGAACACCGACAAGGGTGGTTGTTGACGGGGGGACACTGACGGGGATGGACAGTGACAGGGAGCGTCCCTGACAGGGTGGGCACTGAGGGTGGACACCACGGGGGCACCGGTAGGCGCAGGCACGGCCCGGTCGGCTCCGAGGGGCCGCCGCGGCGCCGCACTCACCTGCCCCCCGGGCCGGGCGTTGCGGCGGCTCCTCGGAGGCCCGCGTGGAGGCCAGGACGCTGGCGGAGGCGAAGCCCGGACGGCCTGGGGTAGGCCGCACGCACATGGGGCCCGGCCGGGCGCGGCGCCCACGGACACGGCGCCCACGGAAACTGCGCGGGACCGGCAGGGTCCAAGGGCGGCGCTCCAGTCGCTCCAAAATGGCGGCGGCGGGGGCGCGCACGCACGTGAAGGGCGGGGCCCGCGGGGGCGCGCCTGCTGTCAGGGCGCGGCCTCGGGGGCGGGGCAGGTGGCGCGGCGGGGCGGGACCGCGTGCTCCCAGGGACGCGCCAACGCCAGCGCGGTAGGTGCAGCTTCCGCTCGCGCGTCTCCGCTGTGCGTTCGGCTCTCGGTCCCAGCGGGACCGACTCGTTCCGGGACTGCGCGTTTACAGTGACAAATGCCCAATGCGGCGGCGGCAGCGCGTCCCCGAGGCCCAGGCAGGGGTCCTCCGCCAGCGGCGCAGCGCCGCCCGCAGCCTCTCGCAGTCTTTGTGTTACAATGTGTGACCATTAAACGCTGGTTGGAATTCCTTCGATCAAACTAACCTTTAAAATAAGAGTCATTGTTTCAGGAGTCGATGTGAACCGTGGGAACACGTTGGAAGAAGAACTCGAACGCTGGGAATATCGAACAGGTGGGCCTATGACCCGCCACAGCCTCCGAATCCCGCTCCCGCCCACCGCGCTCCGCCAGCCCGGCGCCCGGCTCCTGGGCCAGCAGCCCCCCCCAGGACCCCCTAGCTGGACGCCAGAATGTCTCTGGTGAGGCATCTCCCACTAGAACACCTTCCCCAGTATCCTTCGGGGCAGGCAGATCACTGGCGTGGTCTATAGGGTAAACTTCCAGGAAATGGGGGTAGAAACGCATCAGGCTTACACCCGACTTGAAAAATGCTCTGCAGCTCCGCAAGCTAAAGGCCCCTTCCCACTGAAGCGCGGTGCCTCGGCGCAGAGTGGGGTCGAACTTAGGCCCAACTGCGGTGCTCTTCCTGTGCTCAGGCCAAAGGGCCTAGGTCAGCTGGGGCCCCTCTCCTCCCACACCCCACCGTGGCCTCATCAGGAAATCCCTCCACTTCTAAATACAGACAGCTCTCGACCACCCATGCCCTGGTCATAGACAGGTTACTCGCACTTGACTCAGGACTGCAGCTTCCACCAGGCTTGCTGGAGGCCAGCTTGCCTAATCAGCAGAGACCCCGTAGGGATCCAGAGAGAATGAGCAGGCCACATCCCTGCCCCTGGCTCCAGACTCAAGAGTCCTTGCTATTACCACAACATTCTGCATGACCTGATCTCATTTTCCCACTTCGGCCCCCTGTTTATTTGGCGCCAGTCAGTATAGCCTCCTGCCACAGCCCATTTGCTCATGCTGTCCCTGAATCCTGTTATGCTCTTCCTCTAGTTATTGGCATGCTTACTGACTTGCCTTCAAGAACTTGAGACTCCACTGTCCCCTTCTCAGTAAGGGCTTCCTGGCCTCCCTATTTCAAATCTCAAGACTACCTACATTCATGCTACATACACATGTACACATACACATGTGTGCACGTGTATGCACACACACACACTTCATAGCCTGCCTGGTTTTTCCTCCTATCAGTAGTCATAGTCCCATAAGGGGACAGAAACCACACAATGACGTCAGCAGAGAAGGTTTGATATAAAAATTACTGACAACACACTAATTATAAAGGAGTAAAGAGAACTCTGTTTTCAAAAAAGGACAATACTTGGAAGGGGTCTCCTCCCTAAAGTGGGAGTTAATTCTGTATTAGGGAGTTGTGTGGCTGCTGCCCAGTGGGCAACCACGTTCCCTGGGTTGTCCTGGGATAGAGCTGATCTGTAGTTGCTGATGGGTGGGAATACACCCCTCCAAGCCTGGAAAACCTGCACTGGGAGTGCTGCCCACACTCTCAGAAGCCGCCCACGGCACTGGCGCCCTGCATGCCTCCCACCTTGTCTTTGGCAGCTGCGCAGGAGGAGCAAGAGGAAGAGCATACAGCAACCCAGAAGTCCCCTCCTCCGGCACTGGCTCTCTAGCGCCCTCTACTGGCAGAGCTCAGCTGGGCCAGCTACAGGAGGCGTGCTCACAGGGTCCAGCTCTGGCATCGCGGAGCAGGCCGAGAGGAATGCACTTGGAGCTGAGGCAATAAATAGGAAACAGGCAGAATCTGACCCTCTGGATAGTCAGCTCTGTCTGCATCCTTTCAAACACTTAAAGTCCCATACAACAAGACAATAGTATGTTTTCACCTAGCAAGACACATCCCTCCTGACCTGACCGTATGTAAAGAAATTCTCACTCTTTCCCCAAAATGATCATATGAAGTCTCAACAGTCATTGTATCTGCCACTGGCTACTTTGTTACTCCTCAAATTCTGTCACTATCCCACTGAATATTCTTTTATGTTCTCATGTTAAAACTAAATAGTACAGTTAACCTCTGACAACTTGTATATTTTTTAAAATGGAAAAGAGAAGAAAATGGTTATTATGGACAAATAAATACATACTGTAACATGCAGAGAGAAAATATGCAAAGCTTCTACAATCCTTGTTTCTGTAATTAGCCCAAGATAAGGTTGATACCTATGGCTCTTCCACAGATTTCTCTTCCAAACTGCCTTATAGTGTTGTACACAGTACAGCTAGAATAAAGCCAAGCTGAACTCAGTATTTTTGTCATAGATGGACCAAATAAAGTAAACTTTACCACTAAGACTACTAAATGCATAATTATTCACCAATAAACTTGAAAAAGTAAAACTGACACAAAATGAGCGCTAACTCTGGAGCCCCTCAGAGGAGGGGGAGATGAGGTCCCATCCTGTTGTTCAAGAGCCACTTGCAGTGCAGCAAGACACAAGCCAGGGCATCAGAAGACCACTGCCCCACAAACCAAGTAGGATAAACATGCAGAGGTCCACACCTCTGTATACCATAACCAAATCCCTGCATGTCAAAGAAAGAAAACCATAAAGTGGCAAGAGAAAAATGACCCATTGCATAAATGGAACAATGATGCAAATGAAGAGCTGACTTCTCATAAGAGGCCATATACAGTAAAATGGCATATTCAAAAGTGCTGAAGGAAAAATAAAACCTGTCCATAAAAAATTCTATACTCAGCAATATCCTTCAAAAATCAAGGTGGAAAAAAAATGAAAGTAAAGACATTCCCAGATAAACAAAACAGAAAATTCATGGCTAAGAGATCTGCCTTACCAGAAATAGTAAAGGAAGTTCTTCAATGCTGAAAGGAAATGATATAAAATGTTCACTCAAATCAACAGGAATGAATGAAGAACCAAATTCAGCACCATGTAAAAAGGATTGTCTACCAAGATCAATGGGGTTCCTGGAATGCAAAGCTGGTTTAGCAACCAAAACTCAATCAATATAAATACATTATATTAAGAAAATAGAAGATGAAAACCACAGGATTATGCCAACAGCTGCAAAAAAGGCATTTGACTAAAATACCTATTCATGTGAAATATTCTTAACAAACTAGGAATGGATGGTAAATTCCTCAAATTCCTCAGCTCATAAAAGGTATTTAGAAAAAATCTATAGCTAACATCAAACTTAATGGCGAAAGATGTAATGCTTTTCCACTAAGATGAGAAATGGGGCAAGGATGTCTGCCCTTACCATTCAATTCCACATTGTAGGGTTCCACACGTAAGGGGCTTATATAAGTTGCCATTCCATCCCAACAAGTAAAAACTGAATAGACTGAAAAATCAGCAATTCTTGGACGCATAAGAGAAAGGAGGTCACAGGCCAAACCACTGCTCCCCGGACTGGAGAGACGAGGATGCAGGTCATCACTGCTCCCCAGCAGAAGCCGCTGAGGAAGCCCATGCTGGGGGAGCCTGAATTGTGACTGATGAATTCTGGGGTGTGCTGAGGGGACAACTCTGACAGTTATAAACTCTGGGGGACCCAGTCATAGGGGGCCCCACAATCTGGTGAGATTCAGAGAGCAATCCTCTCATGCTTCCTGCAGGGGAATTACTCTGAGATGTGCCAGAGCTCTGTTCTTCAGAAGGCCTGCCCTCCAGGGAAGCTAGTTAACCAGAGCCTGACCTGCTGGGGTTCGGGCTGACAGGGGAAATACCCAGCTCCAGCCCCCTCTGGCCATCTGTCCAGCTAAGGGGGGAAGAAAACTGAGAAGTCTTGTGAAGTTCCCAGCCCAGAGGCACAGGCTCACTACAAGACTGACCCAACACAGGACTACAGGACACTTCCCCTCCTCACCTCCCCACCACATGACTAGCCTGTTTATAGCCCTTTTACCCAGCACATCATGTCAAGATTTCAAGAAAAACTGACAAGGCAAATCACACAATTAAAAGGCAAAAACCCTATTTCAAGAGACAGAGCCAGCCTAAGAACCAGACATGACAGGGGTGTTGGAATTATCAGACTGGGAATTTAAAACAAGTGCTCTAATGGATAGAGTGGATAGTATGGAAGAACAGGTGGGCTACCAAAGCAAAGAGGTGGAAATGCTAAGAAAGATCCAGAAATAAAAGCTTGAGATAGAAAACACCATAACAGAAAGTCTCTGATGGGCTTACTAATAGACTGGACACAGCTGAAGAAAGACTCTCTGAGCTGAAGGATGTATCAACAGAATCCTCAAATACAGAAAGCAGAGAGAACAAAACTGCAAAAAAAAGAATATCCAAGGACAAAAGATGTACTATGCACGTAATGAGAATACCAGAAGGAAAGAGAAGAAGAAAGAGAAGAAATATTTGAAATTATTCTACATTGTACTAAAGGTTGTAACCAGTTCAGTAAAACAAAACAAAAAAAAAAGGCATACAGATTAGAAAGGAAAAAGCAAAACTGTCTTTATTCACAGATGACATGATTTTCTATTTAGGAAATCCTAATGTACCAAAAAAATCTCCTAGAAATAATAAGCTAGTTTAACGAGGTCATAACAATCAAATTATATTTCTGTGTACTTTAACAAACAACCTGAAAGTGGAACTAAGAAAAATATTCCATTCACAATTGCATCAAAATTAATAAAATACTTAGGAATAAATATAACAGAAGTGCGTATGTGTGGGTAAAATTGTAACATTTCCAGACTATCTCGCCTGGCTTTAGTGTATTTGTATATCCTCAGGGATGGAGAGAAGTTCATCTCCATGTCAATAGGTAATTACCTGGGCTTGCGAGTTTAAAGGGAGGGGCAGGCTGCCTTGCTTGCTTCTTCGGGAGCAGGGGAGCGAGAGACAGCCCTGGACTGGAGTTTGTAAGCGATAAGTGGGTTTTGAACTTTATTTCTCCCTTTGACTGATTTCAGTTTTTAGAGGTATTTTGCCCCAAGATTTCCTTTCCCTGGACTTATGATATGGTAGAGAGTTCTTCCAGCAGGCTAGTGGCTTATCCTTAACCGATCCTGCTTACAAGGCTAACCCTTGGCTAGTGTCTGGAAACCTGGATTTCAGGAGGGTTTCACCACTCACTGAAATGATCAGAGTGGGTCATTATGCCTAAATTGTTTAAGTAAACAACATAACTTACGCTGAACACCTGCTTGCTTTCTGGGTGCCTGGAATTTGGGCAGGCACTAGGCACCAGAACCTGCCTATCTGATCAGCCCTGTGGTGGGTTAAACAGTGCCAGCCCCCTACCCCCAACCAGAAAAAAAAAAAAGATATGTCTACCCAAAACTTGTGAATGTGACCTTTGGAAGAAGTGCCTTTGCAGATGTAATTAAGGATCTTGAGATAGATCTTTCTGGATCAGGGTGGGTCCTAAATGTGATGTCCCTTTAAGAAAAGTAGGGAAACCACAGAGGAGGTGATGGAGACAGAGACAGAGAGATTCAACCACAAGACAAGGACTGCCAAGCCAGCAGTAACCAGAATTTAGCAGAGAAGGCTGGAACAGACACTTCCTCAGCCTCAGAAGGAACATACCCTAAGGACACCTGATTTGGACTTCTGGCCTCCTGAACTGTGAGAGAATAAACTGTTGTTTTAAGCCACCTAGTTTGTATCAATTTGTTGCAGCAGCCTTAGGAAAGAAATACAAGCTCTCATAAAACTGTGGATGCTAAGTCACTAATGAACTTTCCTGGCTGGCAACAATTCATACCCTTTTCACAATTTCTGGGACAATTAACCCCGTCCTGTGTGACTTTCCTGAGACAGGACTCTAGAAGCTGATGCTTGGTCTCCCCCAAACTTTGCCCCAGAGGCTTTTCCCTTTGCTGGTTTTACATTGTATCTTTTTTCTGTAATAAACCATGGTCATGAGAATGACCATATGCTGAGTCTTAGGAGCCCTCCTAGCAAATCATTAAAGCTGAGGGTGGTCTTGCAATCCCCATGCAATAAAAATTATGAAACATTGCTGAGAAAAATTAGGGAAGATCTAAATAAATGGAGACATGCTACGACCTGGTCAGAAGACTCAATATTGTTAAGATGGCAATTCTCCAGAAACTGAACAAAAGACCCAATTCAGTACCCAGGACAATTTCAGCAGTTGGTCTTGTTTCACTTTATTTGACAGAACTTCACAAGCTAATTCTAAAATTTATAGAGAAATACTAAGGATCAAGATAGTCAAAACAGAATAAAGTTGGAAGACTTACACTACCTGATTTCAAGACATACTATAAAACCACAATGATCAAGATGGTATAGAATTGACATAGGACAGGCATATAGAGCATTGGAATAGAATAGTCAAAAAATGAACCCTCACAAATACGATCAATTGATTTTTTATAAAGGCGTTAAATCAATAGGGAAGCAATGTCTTTTCAACAAATGATACTGGAAAAATTGCTTATCCATATGTAAAAATATAAGTGAAATCCTCTTTCAAACCATATGCAAAAAGTAATTCAAAATGGATCACAGACCTAAATGTGAAAGCTGAGATACTTCTAAAAGAAACACAGAAATTATTTGCATTAGGACTTTGGGTTAAGAAAAGATTTATTAGATATGACACCAAAAGCATAATACATGAAAGAAAAAATTGACTAGAAGTCATCAAAAAACTTTTGGTTTTCAAAAGGTGCCATTAAGATAAATACAAGACTGGAAAAATAATTTCAAGTCATATATCTCATAAGGGACTTGATTCCAGAATA